ATATATATATATATATATATATATATATATATATATATATATATATTTAGGGAGGGATCCAAGTCGACTGGAAATACAGAGATTTCCACAATTGATGATGTGGCAACCTCTGTTCACGGTCACTTCGTACCCAAGAGAGTGAAGCTACAATGGGAAGTTTTTAGTGTTTTTAATCTCGTCTTACCCCAGTAAACTATAAACTGCAATTATTGATCAGTAGGAACTTGTTAATGACTTTTAAAAAAGTGCTACACTTGTTTTGGGAAAATTTTAGCTCAAGCTAATCACGTTCTTCCTTTGTAGTTTGAAATGACGTTAATATGTACGTTATCGCCACCTACTGGAGAATCATGAGCATTTCACTGTTTTTGTTGGAGTCAAGTGAATAAAACATAAATATCAGTTTCTGGAGATCTGAATAAAGTGAACAGGACTTGAGAAACGATGGAACAAAAGTCTAAAAATTCGATTCACTAACTGGAACATGGTGTTGAAAAGTTAGAGAACTTTTTTCATTTTTTTTTTTTCAAATTTCATTGCAGATATTTTAATTTGCGAAAATAAATGTGGTTTTGATTTAATGTTGCCTTGAAACGTTTGCTGTATTTGCAGCCTTTTTTATTTTTTATCGAATCCGTCGTCCACACAGTTTAATTGTCAAAACCAAAATAAACTCCCCCGAAACATCTTCTGCTTGAGACTTTGGATGATATTTGAAATTACTTTTTTGGGATCTGGAGCATTCAGGATTTTTTCTTCTTTTTTTTTTTTCCATCTCAAATTTCTGACAGACTAAATCAGTTGATTAAGCTGAATCTTTCTGATGATCTTTGTTTTTTACTCACAGAAAGTGATGAACTTTCAGACCTCACCTGCACTGCTCTCTCTGCTGGTAATCTTCCGTTTTTATGTGCACTGTAGTGACATGTCATCCTGAAAGATTTAATTGGAGCTGCTGGATGAAATCATGGTGGTTTATATTCACCCCTGATGTTTTCAGCCTGCTTCTGACATTTACTGCTGACAAAACTCCACAGGAACACATTTTCATCACTAAAAAACTTACTGTCTGAAGGCTGACATTTATGTTGAAGTCCAATCTTTTTGTTCACTGACTTGTCTTTGTGTAATTACTCATTTTATTCTAAAGTTTTAGTCAACCACAGACTTGTATAGTATTTGTAAAGTGTATTTCCTACTCTACCCAATGGAAAAAGGTACATTTATTAAATAAAGATGTTTTTAAGTAATCTTTTTTTTTTCATGTGAGGCTTTCTCTAGAGAGGTTTTGTCTCCAGAGAGACTTTGAAATGGTAGAGCTGCTGCCTCTCAGCGAGCAGGTCCTTGGTTCAAACCCCGGTCCGGGGGCCTTTCTGGGTGAAGTTTGTATGTTCTCTCCGTGCATACGTGGGTTTGTTCCGGGTACTCCGGTTTCCTCCCGCAGACCAAAAACATGCATGTTAGGCTGATAGGTAACTAAATTGTCCCTAGGTGTGAGTGAGAGAGTGGATGGTTGTTTGTCTCGTTTGTCTCTATGTGTCCCTGTGATGAACTGGAGACCTGTCCAGGGTGTCCCGCACCTCTCGCACATTAACTGCTGGATATATATACCAGTGACCCCCAATGACCAGAAAAGGAAGAAGTGGGTAAAGATGATGGCTGGATGGTCTCATTACCTCATAATGACAAAGTAAAAGTAAAATTTTAGACAATATTGTAATTTTTTGGTAAAATAGGACAAAACTGAGTTCTAATATTTCCATAAGTATTTATTTGTGTCTTTATCATGTTTGAATGTGAAGCTTTAGTCCAGTCTGAGATCTTTTGCACTTTGGGTTAAAAGGTTTTCTTTACTGACCATTCAGCTTCTTTAGAGATGTGTTGTCCTTAACAAATCATGTCTCATCACTGGTGGACTCCAATCAGGGTCAAATCATGTCCTGTCCCTGGTGGACTCCAGTCATGGTCAAGTCATGTCCCATCACTGGTGGACTCCAGTCATGGTCAAGTCATGTCCCATCACTGGTGGACTCCAGTCAGAGTCAAATCATGTCCCGTCCCTGGTGGACTCCAGTCATGGTCAAGTCATGTCCCATCACTGGTGGACTCCAGTCATGGTCAAGTCATGTCCCGTCCCTGGTGGACTCCAATCAGGGTCAAATCATGTCCCATCCCTGGTGGACTCCAATCAGGGTCAAATCATGTCCCGTCCCTGATGGACTCCAGTCATGGTCAAGTCATGTCCTGGCTCTGGTGTAGTCCAGCCAGCGTCAAATCATGTCCCGACCCTGGTGGACTCCAGTCATGGTCAAGAGCCATCTCTGCACAGAAATTGGAGGCATTTGAGCTCAAGTTCAAATGTTGTTGAAATAGGTTTGAATTCTTATGGAAATGTTAAATTTCAATTGTCATGTTAGGTAAATTTACAAAAATGTCTAAAAATCTGTTTTCACTGTGTCGTTATGTAGTTCTGAGTGTAGATTATTAAGAAAAACGATTTAAAGATGTTTAACACTCTTCTCTTTAACCTTTGAGCGTCCCCCAGTGACTGAAGTCGGGCTGGGAACACCTGAACTCTCAGATCCTGTTCCAGTTTATTCATGTGCAGCAAGTTTGTTGTAACCTGTGAAAAACATGGTTATTTCTTACATTTCCACAAGCTGCCTCAGTAGTTCCCTGCAAGGATAAGTGAAGTCATCGATTTGTACAGTATCTGTGAAGATGGCAGAAGGAATGATTTGTGTGAAAGCAGAACGTTTCTTTTAAAATGAATT